CAAGTGAAAAATCTTCCATTCATGCAACTTAATCAGTCCATCTTCCAGGAGCATATGTGGTTTGGGCTTTTTTACTTGTTTGTGTCTGGTTTTGGGTTTTTGTTGCATCAATTGCAACTTTGTCTTTCAGTTTTACTTTTTCTTGAACAAAAGTAGGTTATTTTCTTGTTGACATGGGTTCCACCATAGAAATACACTTTATTTGAAAGGAATTTGAATTTTGCTTTTGTTTTCTTCCTCACTGAAACTTCAGTGCTATTCTCAATGGAGAGTACTTGTCTGTATTTCCCCCTTGGCCACACACAGAAGTACAATATTAACTGCATTGGCAGTGATGCAAGGTTTTCTTGGCACAGAATCTTACTAGCTAAGTAGCAGCAAACTTTTCTTCTCTCCCAGATATTGTAAAACATTCAGAGATTTAAAATGCCTGTATTCCTCTGATACACTTTGTTTTGCTGTTCAGACACAAATCCACGTAGAACTTCATATGTGGTGTCAGTTTATACCTTTTTAAATTTTTTTTTTTGCTAATCTTAATTACAGCAGTGTGTCCTTTTGACTGCAGGCTTCAGTAAACATTCCCATCAAGAAAGGCATGCGATCATCAGGGACAGGGTCGTATTTGTAAATGTGTATAACAGGCTCTATTTATGTCTTGGTAATTCTGCTGCTGACTGCTTAATTGGATGAATCATGACAGCGGTTCTTAAGACGTGATGTTATTTTGCCTTTACATGAAAATAAAAAAAAATAAAGCAATGATTTAATCTGTTGGTGGTACCATTAGGAATTTTCAGGCGGTTGACAAGAGTCACGATAGCTGTCCATTTCCTGGTTTAAAGTTTCTTAAAATTACTCTCTGTCTGCCAAAGTCTTACGATGGCTCATACAATCCCATATTACAGGGAATAAAGGGCACTTCCAAGGCATCCAGCAGGACTCCATTGAGCGTACACTTGGTTTTGGAACCAGTTGTATTGAGCTTAAAGAAAGCAGGATGCTGCGCTGGGGTGTGTGGGATATGCATGTCTGCGACCAGCTGTGCCCAGTGATCTCTGGAAAGCAGGCAGGAGCCACGAGTGTGCCACTGTCGTTTTAAAGAGGAAAACTTAAGATCAGTAGGTTGGGGTTTCTACTCTGTGGAGGTGAGTAGAAACCTCTCTGAATGGCAAGAATCTTTCCTTGTCTCCCACACTTTCGTTCTCCCACCCATCTCAATGCAAAATACCTTCCTTAAAAAGACTTTTTTCAGTAAATTTAGATCGATTGTGGTTCCCTTCACAGCCTGCTGTCACATAGTCTTGAACTATCAGTAACTGCAGATATTAAAAGGGAATGCTGCAAAAGCCAGACTCGTGACTCTCAAGACTATCTGTAACTTTTTTTAGCTTGCTGCTATTAAAAGCCTGGAAAAGTTCTTACAGCCTGTAGTTCATATCCTTGTGTATGGTCTTGATATTTGTGCCTCCTACTCTAGTGGTGGGAGAGCCATCGCCGCAGGCCTGACGACAGAGCAGTAAGCAGCTGCCTTGCCCTTGTTAGGCAGAAATGTTTCTGCGTGAGCATTAGCCTATACTTTGTTCAGCACTAAACCTTGAATACTTTCTAACACCTAGGAGAACAGACAAATAACAGGCCAGAGAAACGAGCTACATAACCGTCATTATTGGTGTGTATATACCATGAATATTCTGTATTAGGAAAAAAAAAAAGTACAGTGTTTTTCTCTTCTGAAGACCCTGAAGTTACTTTTACTGTGATCAGTGATGAACTCCTTGAACAAGATAATTATACAGCCCAAAGTTGTATTACATGCCCTGTAGGGAAACAAACCATGTATTTCTACCACCTACTCTAGTGAAAAGTGCTCAGGGAACTTGAGTTTAAATTTCAGCTTCTGCAAAATCCAGCAGTGTGAGGTAAAAATCTTGCTCTCCTCATTTTTTTAACAATGTGTAGCCTCTATGAAATCAGCACTTGCAGAAGGTCTGCTGTGATGCTGAAAAAACTTGTAAATTCATGCAGGTTGAGACAGTCCTACATTTTATATATTGTATTGCTCAGCTTTAGAATGCAAAGGACTATGCAGAGGCACCTAAGCATCACTGAGCTGGGGAACAGAGAGTAGTTTCTAGATTTTACTGCCTGGGAAGTCAGACATTCAGCTGCTGTTACTGTAAAGGGGAAAAAATAAACATTCCCCAGCTGTAATTTGTTTTATTACATTGGCTTATGCTGAAGGCAGAATGGAATGAGATGTAATGAATTTCAAGGTAGAGCTTTTTGCTACTTCGGACCTGAAGGGTTTTATATGCTTCTTACATATCCTTTTATACAAACATGAGACAAGGGCTTGCTTCTGAGAATTTTATTTATTTATTTGGGTCACATATGTTCATCCCATTCTCTGTATTTCCCAAGAATTGCTGGACTGGATTTCTACTCAGCTTCTGAGCTGCTCTGAAAATGTAATCATGAAGTACAGTGGGTAATTACATTAACTTAGTCTTGCCTAACCTTAGATCTTAACAAAAACACAGATGTGTACTTCTTTCTCCCCAATACTTTTGTTTGCAACCTCTTATGTTTAAAAAAAACAAGTATTTTTTAAATTCATAGATATAAAACCCTTGAGAACTATTTTAATGCTGCACAAATGCAGCTTTGCAAGGAAAAGTACATCCCTAATCCTGCAGCCCAGTTGAATATGGTCCTGGATGTCTAGAATTTAGCTTTCCTTCTCTCCCAGTTAATTTGCTTTCTACTGATTTAACTGAACATCTGACAGTTAAATAACTTCTAAATTTAGTGTTCCCAGGGGAGAGAGGGGTCATTTTGAGTTTGGGTGCAGTGTGGAATGATAAATACTGAGGTAACTCCTTTATGCAGTGAAGTCACTCAAACAATAGCAATGTTCCCAATATATATTCATGTGTGACCTGAGTTTATAATTATGCCCTCAAACCATTCTACTATAATCACACAGATCAGTGGTTAGATAAAGCAATGTTCGGTTGTGCCATACTGCCATGTGAAAGGTTAGATAGATGACAGATAGATAGGAAATGTGCAGCAATACTTCGGTCCTTTTCTCTATTCCAGGGTTAGACTTGGAAGATTGTCTTGGCTTCTCCCCCCTGCCTGCCCCCCCCCTTTTTTTTTTTTACACCATGCACTTTTAGAAACGCGTTTATCAATGACCTCGTATTTCACCTTTTTGCCGTTGCTCAGTACACTGAGCAGCACCCAGTGCGCTCAATGGGGAGGCAGATACACCAAGCTATACTATCTGCTGCTTCACCTTCACCGGCAGCCAAGTACATGGGCAAACAATTGAAAGAGTGCCTAGAACGAGCTCGAGAAAGACAGTTTGGCAGCCTGTCTGTCCCCCACCCAAAGTGTCTTGCTGTGACTGCACTAGTGGAGTTTAAGTCTACAGTGAAGGCAGAGCCCGCTGTAATGGACAGAACATACAGTGAGACCAAAATACGGATTCAGAGTAGCTCAGAAACTGCTGCATATTATTGGGATTTCAGTGTTGCTGGTTTCCTGCTGCTGGTAGGAAATGTGACAAACAGGGACTTGACCTGACAGCAGGCGTGAGGCTTGGGAGTCTTTCCCGTCGAGTTTGGCTCTACAGAGCCTGGCCACAAACAAAATATAGAAAGGTCGTTTGTGACTTTGGTGGCTGTTCTTTGTCTTTTAGAACATGTGAGTGATTTCTAGGACTTTTTACTCACTGGAGAAAGTTTAAACGCAGCAAAGTTTCTGCCTGGAGGAACAATGTGATTAATTGCTGAAGTGGCATTCCCTACTGATGGCATCAATTCAGTTTCAGCCGTCATGCTGTGCAGCTCTGGCTTCTCCAAGAAGCCACCTGAAATCTATGGCTTTGAGAAACCTGGTTTGCTGTACAGCAAAAAGCACAACAGGCTTGAGATACGGATTATCGGAGGAGGTTTATCTGAGCCCTTTCAAATTTTCTTTTCTGGGCAATGGACGGTATCAGGCTTGCAACCTCTTATGTTTAAAAAAACAAGTATTTTTTAAATTCATAGATATAAAACCCTTGAGAACTATTTTAATGCTGCACAAATGCAGCTTTGCAAGGAAAAGTACAGTGCAGTAGAAATTCTGGTTTCTACTGCAGTTGCGTTGTGACCTCCTTTTTTGGCCTTCCTGCTAAAAAACTCATACTAGCTTCTGTGGGAAATTATACAGATATGTTTCTTTTGCCCTGCTCCGAGAGTTGTTCTCCTTAGTTCCAGATTGTTTTTCTTGTTTTTTGAAGCAAAACAGAACCCACAATGTCAGTTACATTTTTGAGCGTTCTACTGCAAACCACCACTACCTTTTATTCAGTCAAACAGAGAAAATGAGGAATAAACCTTAATAATGCATCTGCTAATAATTAACTTGCATTTTCTCACCTGTACCCAATTTATTAGCTACTTCTAATGATCCAGTAATTTATTCTAACAGGTCCAAATCATGCATCAGTAGATATTCTGATACCAGTTTTCATAATGCTATTGTTACATACACCTTGTGTGCAGCTGGAGGAATTTACTAGACCTGATTTCAATAGTTACACCAATCTAAACCAGATGAAGCTTATGGCAGGAGTGGGCTAACTGTGCTTAGTAACTGAGTACTTGTTTTCTTAAAGTCCTTGAAATACTGTGAATACTTCTGTATGAAATCTGCTGTAAAATTTTAAGTCAATCCTTAAAGTTGAACTTTTCTTCTACACTGAAGTACTCTGTTGTAAAGTTGGTGTGAAAATGACCATTGATGTTACAGAGTTGTTTTTCTTGTGGCTGCACAATACCATAACTAGCAATAACGTCCTACAGGGACAGGGACAGGGGAAAACAAAGTCAGGTGTGTCTAAAAGCTACTTCTTTCTTTTACTCAATGCTGCTACTCACTGGAGGGAGCACCTGCAAGAGTGGACAAGGTTTGCTCTTGGTGTTCAGTCTTCTGGGAGGTCACTTTCATTGTATCTTTTTCATGTCTTTCCTAATTTTTTTTTTTTCAAGTTTCAGCTTTGTGTTCTGTATTTGTTTGAGCAGCTCCAGAGACTCGTGAATGGATTGAAATCCTGGCAGAAGAATAGGAATAATTAATTAATAGTGGTTGATTTCAATACGTTAAAAGGTTCTTTTCTTTTCAAAGGTTTGTGACCCATGTTTAGTACAGAGTGCATTCAATCCAATGTATTTCATGATTTTACTGAATACCGTGGACATGCATTAGCAGCCTGGGTTGCAAGGTCCTTATTGTAGGTATCGTATCTTCCAATACAATGGACAATACCAGGCATGACTGTGTGTAGCCGTAAACTGCAGTTGACATCAGATTTGTGGTGTGGAGTAAAGAAAATGTGTCTGTCTTTAAAACCAAGAGTATTGTTAGCCTTAAAGTATATTGTTCTTTCATTGAGCATTGGGGTTTTGTGTTTGGTTTGGTTTCTTTAAGTCTGTAGTCCTTATTTTGAATCAAGGACTCTGTATTCCCACCAGGTACTGACACTGTTGCTCTGCAGTCTGCCTACCAGGTAGCAAGGTTGGTGCCACAGATCTCCCAGAGTTGTAGCAGCAGTAAATAAGAGTTACGCTTCATCTGAGATGGATGCTGTTTTGTTGTGTGCTTCTAGGAGAATGGGAGCTCAGCTTCACCAGCTAAATCTTTGTGCCTGTGTATATACATATATGAAAAGAGAGAGATGGGAGTGTGCAGGCACGCTTTTTTCCAAAAACAGAGCTACAGAGCATGTGTTGCACCTTTTTTGAACCACTGTACAGTCAAATATTGTCAATAAAGACTAGAAAAGTAGAATTGTGAGCTGCTGGTACCTAGCTGTTTCCAGATTGCAGTAACTTTCAAATTACAATGTAGTAGTTCTTCACATTTGTCCAGCATGTCTCACCAGGAAACATGAAATTATTACTCTACCCTTAATTGGTTTAGCGGTGGACTTGGTAGTGTTAGGTTAATGACTGGACTTGATGATCTTAAAGGTCTTTTCCAACCTAAACAATTCTGTGATTCTGTGATAGGTGTTAACTTATCAGCAAGCAAGCAGCCTAACAATGGATTAAAATTAATTATCTTCCTCTTTTTTTTTTTTCCTTAAGTGCTTACTGTAACATGGCAGCTGATGACATGTTTTTCTTTTTGGAACTGTTGTTTAATATGGATTAATTTTGTCACTGCTACGGTCTAGATAGTGTTCAACCAAATCACTGCATAGTGCTCAGAATTTTATAAATTCCAGACATGTCTCTGATTCCAAGATGCCAATCTGTGCTGAAGCACAAACAGCTGCTGAGACAGTCTATAGGCTGCCTCTGTGCCCTTCATGCTGCTCCGTACCTCTTTAGTGGCTTCTTTTCCAGGGTCAGCCCCTACTAGAGTACTGCCATGGGAAAGAACAATCCTTGGACTTGAGTTTGAATGCAAGGATGGCCAAAGTTTCGTACAAACAGATCTCTTCTGTCGTTAATTCCTGCAGGCTGGAATTTGAAGTAAAGAACTCGCTCATTCAGCACCAGAATCTGTTACTCTGAAATTTCTTAGCCACAGCTTTCTTTGAGATGCTGTCTTGTGCTCACTCAGTTGGTCTTGGAGACAGCCAAGCCTTCCCATGTCAAGCTGCACAAAGACTTTAGCAAATTTAGAGCTTGGTTTGCTACAGCCTTGGAGCAGGGCTTGTAGGTGGGTTGCAGACAATGAAGGAATTGGGGCTGAAGTAGAGAGCTGGGGTACTCAGTCCCAGACAGCTTTGAAGATGAGAACCAGATGCTTGAGTTTCAACTGAGAACACGTAAGATGTGAAGCCCTTGTGTAACGATTTTCAGCCATCTGTTCCCTTGGAGAGAGGGCTGAGTGATTTTTTTTTTTGGATAACCTGGCATGTCCACTGTGTTACCATTACCAGCTGCGAGTGGAGAGTATTGCAATAGATAGGTGTGAGTGACACAGAATAGAATCACAGAATCGTTTAGGTTGGAAAAGACCTTTAAGATCATCCAGTCCAACCATTAACCTAACACTACCAAGTCCACCACTAAACCAGTTAAGGGAAGAGTAGCAATCTCATGTTTCCTGGCTTGGTGGCGGGATTATTTTTTAATGAAAGTAACACTAGGAGTCACTAAGGTTGGAAAGGACCTCTAAGATCATCAGTCCAACCATCAACCCAACACCACCATGCCCACTAAACCATGTCCCAAAGTGCCATGTCTACCCATTTTTTTAACACCGCCAGGGATGGTGACTCCACCACCTCCCAGGGCAGCCTGTTCCAATGCCTGACAACTCTTTCTGTGAAGAAATTTTTCCTAATATCGGATCTAAACCTCCCCTGGCGCAGCTTGAGGCCATTTCCTCTCATTCTTTCACTAACTACTTGGGAGAAGAGCCCAACACCCACCTCACTACAACCTCCTTTCAGGTACCTTTCAGGTAGAATAGATTACAGTGGGCAAAATCTTTCCTGTGAAGGCCACGTGCTTAGTGCCAGGTGCCAGCCTTTCTTATTGCTGCTGGAAGTTGAACAGCTAGAATCATCTCTGATTGGTCAAGTTGTTCATGCTCTGTGAGTTACATTAATGCTCCTGTCCCCATAAGAAGCAGCTGCCATGGATTCAGCAATGTTATGTAACTACTTCCCTGTTCACTTGCGTAGTGAATGGTCCGTGTCGGATAGCTGTTACTCATCCAGGTGCCTCTTTTTCCAGCTACTCTTAGTTGAGAATGGGGAGTAAAGGATGAAAATTATATAAAACCATCAAACACGATCTCAGCAGCAGGATCTGTGCAGAAGGATATGAATTGTACCTCCCAACAAAGGTTAGTGACCTTGCTAATGGAAGAAATAGGTACTCTAAAAAATCTGGAAAACAGGTTGTGAAATTGCCTTTTAAATGATCTTACCTTGAGACTCTCAGGAAGAGAAAGCAACCTGTGTGCAAATGGCATGCTGGCTGTTTGCAAAGGCAAGCGGGCTAACCCATGCACCTCTGTACATGGGTTTTGGGAGAGACAAACAGTCATTTTAATGTCTTTCTGTCTTTACTGGAAAGTGTCTCCTGGAGCAGCAAGTTACTGCAGAAATTTTTTTTTTTTTTTACATTGCATGAAAACCCACCCTCACCTGATCTGTATTCATTTTGGATTTCCTCAAGCTCTTTCCAGATCTGTCTTTCAAATCTGGTGATTCTTGCATGCAGGTTTTTTTCATCTCTCTTCATCTGGTTCAACTGCTTTTCATGTTCCTGTGGTTTATCCATTTGTTCTAGCTTTAGTGACAGAAGTAGGAGCTTTTCTTCTACTCTCTTTTCTGCTCTTTCCTTTAAATACATAACACAGGTAAGACATTTTAAATATGCCCACATTAACCTGCCTCCTGCCAACCATGCATTCAGTCTTACTTCCTAATCCCATGCGTGACAGCACTGAATAAATGCAGGTGAGGTCTGCTACCCCGGAGCATGTGTCAATCCCCTCTTCCCCAACCAACCAAATAAACTGGGAGAGCGGGGCTGGGCCAGGACAAAGGTGCTTTTTAAGGGTTTTTTAAATTTGTTTATTCATTTTAAATCCAGTGATCTGCTGTCACGCTTTGCAACAACAGACTGGGAACTCAGACAACCCGTTTCAGGTTGCTTGCATGTGCCCATCACAAGCCCGAGCTTCCTGACCTAAGGGGTGCAACACTGTGGTGTAAACCCAGCTCAGCTGCTGGCGTGAATAAGGAGGCTGAGCCCCATAAGAGCTGCCCAAGTGAGGGATGGCAAGCAGTCCTCTCCATCCTTTGAGCTCAGCACAGCTCTTGGAGGCAACTGCCCCTCCTCAGAGGGGTGCTCAAACCTGAGCTGCACAGCTGCCCACCCTTTCCTTGGTCTTCAAGTTGCACCAAGTCCTCTGATCAACTCCAAATCTGGTCAATGTGATCAAAATCCTCTGACCTTCTTCAGCCCTCGCAGCCCAAGGCAGTCCTGTGGGCCCAAGGCAGTGGCTCTGCCTCCAAGGAAGGTGTTCGCAAACCTGGCAAAGCTGTCTGAACCTAAACAGAGTTTAGCACAGTGGTGGAAACATGCACTGAGTTTACAAACATTGCCATGCCATGCCATGCGACAGCTGCATCACCAGCGCATAGCCTGCCAGATCCATCAGCCCTCTGGTCCCTGCAGCCCTGGCTGCACACAGGATGGCATGTCCTCTCAGCCCGATGAAAGGACGTAAATGGGACTGCTGCTGAAGGCAGCTGCCTGCGCTGCCAGGGCCCGCTGCTGAGCAGGGACAAGAGCCCTCCTGGCACAAGTTGAAGTTCATCTCCAGCTGCTTTGCCTCTAGTGTTCATGCTGAGGTTTCCTTCAGCTCCCAGGGACTGAGCTCTGCTTCCAATGATATGACATCCAGAGGACCACCAGCTGCTCCAAGCACTGTGTGTGCCTGTCTGTACATGTACGCATATCTAAAAAAACAGATATGCTCCTTATTCAACCTACTGAAGAGTGGCTTTGAAACCTTTAGCTCCTGTTAACGCTGTCCTTTTTGGCACGGCAGTCTCCCTTAGGGGAGAATAGCCACATATTTGTGTGTTTTCTGTAAAATAGTCACAAAAATATTAGCAGAGGAAGGGAACTCAAGCAGTATCTTTGAGATAGCGGCACAAATGTTTTTACTATCTTCCTGGCTGCACTAACTGTTGGTTGATTGAGTACGAGAGATCATCATCAGGCAGGATAAATGGAGATTGAAGTTCAAGAGCGTTTTACTTCCAAGCAACTTCTGAATCTGGTCTTTGATCAGCAGCCTTCATCCTGGTGCTAGGACATGGTGATTGTGTGTCAATTGCTTTTGAACACTGAAGCGGAATGAACTGCACACAGCAAAGGAGGAAAAGCTTTAAAAGCTGTGAAGGAATTAATTAAAAGGCATTGGTCCTGTGCCAAACGCTAACTGCTACCGTGGAATCGAAATGCATGGTGTTTTAATGTACCTACTACAGGATGGTGAGTGTTTGTCTATATTTAAAACCAGGCAGAATTTGCACAGACAATCCCTTCCTTTTCTGTGCTTGTCAATGAATTAAACAGAGTGGTGTTCAGTGGTGGCACCAATGCTCACCTTGGGACAGGAAAACACCATCGTTGGGTACATCAGGGTTACACAGATGTGCAGTGGTGCTATAATGAGGAAAGACTTTATTTCCCGGGATGCCCAGAGCATTGTGGAAACTCCATCCTCAGAAACAAAAGTCACAAAAGTTGATGAGCCCTGAATTTGCTGTTGGCCCTGTTTGAGTGAGGTGTTGAACCTTATGACTTCCAGATATCCCTTCCAAAATAAATTAATCTATGATTACATGATTTCTATAACTCATTGTTTTGTTGGCCATGTCCTGAGGCACCAGTTTTGTGTTAGGTCTCAGGTTTTGTGTGCGTGATTTGGTACCTCCTGGGATCAAGGTGACAGGAGCAGTGCTTCTTGCTCCCAGTCCTGGGTGGGCTGGAGGCCACCCCAGTGCCCTGGGCTGCTGCCCTGGAAAGTCTTACCAGTCTCTCCTTCACCAAGTTAAGCAGATGATGCCTGTGCTGGGCTTGATCTTCTTCAGACTGTGTCAACTGCGTTTCTGTCCACTTCCGATGAGTCTGTATCTGATCCCTGAAGTTACTTAGAATACTTGTCAACCTAAAATTACAATTATTTTTTTTTAGTAACAAGACTAAGGTTTAGTCAGTGTTATGGGGGAGTTTTGAGTCGCTTGAGAAAATTGTTTAAATTACTCTAAATCTCTTCAATAGCTTCCTAAGAAGCCCTAAGCTCAATTATTTTATTAATCCTTACCTTAAAGGTTGTACCTACATGCCAAAATGTGATTTCTGTAGTGTGGTCTACTTTTAGGAAAATATCTGAGGACTGAAACATGTTAATCTTCCATTTGAATTAACTCTATTGGAAGTGGGTGAAGAAACTACAGTATCCCATTGGACATCACTGCATTACTTTGCATCGGGGAGAGCAGCAAAATCACTTGTGGTCTGAAAATGAAGTTCATAAGGACCCAAAAAGTTTAAAAGATTAACAACAAAAAGAGAATGCAGAGTTGCCTTTGAGGCAGCAGTTGGATAGAAATGTGATAGCCCACCCAAAGGGAACAGAGCAGGCACCACGCGGAGGAGACAGTGAACCACAGGCAAGAGTGGCAAACCAATGTTGCTTGGATCAAACCTGCAAAATGTCAAGTAAAAACAGAACTGTATGGTTTAGATTATGCTTTTCTTATGCTGCAGCGTGTAATTTACAACATGAACCAGACGTGAACTGAGGTCCAAGTTGCAGTCGTATATATAGATTTTCATGCTTATGCTTATGACCTGACTGTAGGAGTGTCATGAAGAATTTTAATGTAATTGTATCAATTTCTAACACACACTTGCATGCAAACAATGATCGCTTGAAATTTGTTTGGGCCTCAGTTAGGATACAAACGAATAGGTAGGGACCAGGGTGTTATAACTAGACAATGCTTACAGCACTTCTAACATTTAATATCACTTTTCAAAAGGGTGTTTGAGTTAAAGTGGTTTTTCCACCGAGTAAGTGATAACAGCTCTATATCAGTCTAATGAAGTGATAATTACCATCAGCAGTCACTGTAAATGTGGTAAAAAACCCCTAATGATTATGAAATATCTCTCTCAGTGATAAGTTATTGCAGTTTGCTATAGACAGCGTCTTTTCAAGATCTTATACATAAGTTGTCTCTTAGGTCAGTTTATCACTATTACTCATTTTAGTAGTTCTAAGATTTGACTTTTCAAGAATAAAAACTTGTAGTACTGAGTTTGTTGGTTTTAGTCCTACCATGTGAGTGTGAACATGCACACAGAGTTTACTTCCTGGAACACTAATCATTGCTCATGAGAAAATAAAACGATGTTGTGATATTATGCTGATGATATAGACCAGTATCCAACCTGAGCATGGGAAGGGGAGGTATAACGAGCTTTTCTCAGACCTAACAGTGAGCCATCTGATGGGAATAACAGGATTTGCCATCCCAGCCCTGTTCGGGGAAGGTCCAGTAGGGATGGAGACAGCACTCTGCCAAAGCCACCACTGCCTGCCCCAAGGTCATTGTTTATGGTGCAGGATCTTCATACCTGAGGATCACTGAACAGGCTGGTCATTGCAAGAGTTATAGCTCTGTTCAACCACCACAGCAGGCAATTACAGGACTGGTACCTCTTCAGACAGATCTTTCATGTGGTTATTTTCATATATATATAATCAGGAGTTTTTCATCCATGAGACATAGAACAAAGGTCTTACACCATTGTTTGTGTGAAGATTACTGAACAGATTTGGGGAATATAATTTTAATGTGTGAAGATGAATTAACCATGAATGACAGAATTGATAGTCAGCTTTGTTCAAAGGTTCAAAACCAAACTTCGTGTAGTTGGCAGCTGGTATTTGACTTCGCTCTGATTTCTCTGAAGTTGGAAAAGGGGGAAAACAGAAATATTTAAACGTAAAAATGAATCGAGTTTTCAGTAACAATAACAGTTTGTACTTTTACAATACAACTGCCAGACCACAGTCAAAGACGATTGGGTCCCAGACAGCTGCATGTCAACTGAAGAGGTAACGCTGGGCTTTAAAGCTGATTTAAATGTGCCAGGTTTTATGGGGAAGCTCCAGTCTGTTCCAGAAGTTAAATTTTATTTCAGCTCTATAAAAAGAATACATAAATCTGGTAGACTTTTAAAAGAGTAATATAAAAGGAGACAGACATTCCCCAAAGGGTATGCTATTTTAATTGAATTTTGTATTAACAAATAAGATCTCAACATTCAGTAAAGAAGTATTTTGGGTTTTATGTTAAATACACAATGCCAGCACATCTCAGTGTCTTGAAAGGCACCTGTTTTCAAGCTTCCTATTTCTGATGACAATTTCACTAAGGTCTCATTAACTTTTGAGAAACACAGCATTTACATAAATTCAGTTTTCCAAATTCTTTTTCTGGCATTGTTCCATTTTTCCTTCCCTCTTCTTTTGTTTTCATTTCTTGTCCCTTTCACATGGTCTTGATCTCCATCATTCACTGCTCTCTGTCTCTGTGTTCCTCCTTCCCTTTTCCCAATTTTAATTCATTGCCCTTTTTAGCTGTTATTCCCCCATTCACCCCTATTCCTTTTCCTGTTCTCTTGATGAGAACTTTCTTCTGTTTAAAGATCTAGCCTATTTTTACCTCTGAATACAACCCAGATAAAATCTTAATTAAAATAAATCTTTATTCAAATACTTCACTATTTTAAGGAGGGGAACTATTGCCTTTGAAATATTATTATTGCAGGATTATTATAATTAGATTTTAAATTATTTGTGCTGGCTCTGTTATTCAATGCTAGGCTGTTTTGCATTGTTCTGAATATGGATGCCAGATACTTTTGTTCATTACATCCTTCCCTGGAGCTTCTTCCTCTCCAAAACTCATCAAGAATAAAATGGCACCCTAAAAGTACTTCTGCAGCTAGAATAGGAAAAATATGCTGCATAAGTAAGAAACAAATAAATCACAAATCTGTGGGCAGATGAGGCTGTGCAGCTACCCTAGCCTTGTGCCTACCGTTCTTCAGCAGCAGCACCACTGCCCCGGGCGGCTGTCTAAGAAATGGGCAGATGGTGCAAGTGCATAAAGAAAATGCCTGGTTCTGCACGTTAGGCAAGTCACAAATTAGCCCCAATTATAATGGTAAATAGCATCTTTGTATTTGGTGCCTTTCTTTTAAGTATGGGAAGTTAATTGGTTTCATACCTTTCTTCTTACAGGATGGCATTTAGCACCTCATTTTAACAATTAGCTTGCAAGACAATATACTTTCATTATGTATTTTCATTATTTTATGGCATAGATCTTCATTAACCTTCTCTTAGTGTTTTGAATGGATGTTAATTAACAGGTTTGTTTTGCTGTTTCATGGCAACCTGTTTATCACACTAAAGTGTTCAGGGTGAATTATCATAATGAAAAACTCTCCATCACCTACTTGAAATCCAGAAGTTGCAATTCGTGTTGTTGATCTCCCTGGACTGTCTTTAAATTCAAGCTTTGATCAGAGTTGGAAGTCTCTATCTTGCCTAATAGCTGCATTACCTAATGAGAATTCAACAGAGAATGCCTTTATGAGCCAGACTATGAGCACTTACATTTAAATATGCATTATGATTGCAAGCATGGAAAAAAACAGCTGACATCAAGGTACAGCTACACAAAACCAAACTTTTCTCACAAATAATTTCATTCAGTAAAGACTGAAGACTTGAGCTCAGAGTCGCCAAGGCTGTAAGACCTGCTGAAGTCAAAGTCTTTGTGGATGCAGGCTTCGCTATTACATGCACAGGTAAGCAATGCTTTTTTTTATTTGAACGAGGCACTGGGCACTGCTCAAATCTTCCCAGCAGTGGGAGGAATCAAGAGGTAAATCCTTGAAAGTGCATGCCTGTTGCAAAGTGCTGTCTGTCTGACACCTAACAGGATCCCAAGAAGGATGAAGAGAGGAGAGGGTCACCCACAATAAGAGACATTTCGGTGGCTGCAGCACTAGGATGGTGCCTGGGGGACCCTGTTCAAAGCATCTGCCCCCCTGCTGCATCCAGGCTGGGGGGTGCATCCACAGCTCTGCACAGCCCCATGCTCTCCAGGCTGTGGGATGTCCCAGGTACCTGATGCTCTCCCACACTTCTTTGGTTGGAGATGCCCCCTTTCACAGGATCATTCATTGTTGGGGCGAGGGGAAGAGAGACTGCTTCAGCAACCTGACCTGCAGGCTGAGGGCCCTCAGCTGGGATGCAGAGAACAAGGTAGACTCACAAAGTGAAGCCAAGCATCCCACGTCCTGTGGGGATGGACACACGTGCACTCCCCTGTGGTGGTGGTGGCCTGAATGTGCCAGGCACTATGGACAGGAAAAGCTGGAAACATCTAATCTAAGAGTTGTTATTTCAGCCCTTGGAGGGTCTGGCAAGCCAGGGTCCTGAGCTGCTGGTCCATCATCTACAAATGTCTGTCTTTTTGTACATCACAATTAGTGTGAAAGTGCAATGCCAAGGACTCCTGATGCATCAGAGATGCAACGCAGCGGAGCAGCTTGGAAACACTGTGGATGCTCCAGCAACTGCATCCACTGTCTCAAGAGAAGCTGGACATCCATGTGCCTCTGGAAGATGGAGTGCGAGTGACTCAGGAGACTGGAAGCCACCTGAAACCTATTTCTCACATGACCTCACCCTCCAGGAGTTTTCCCTGTGCGACCTGGGTTACATTACCTGCTGCTGCAAGTAGACACTTGAAGGGCGGTCTGATGCGAGGGATGAGGGATCCAGCCTACCTACCCCTGATTAATAAATTAAAGGGGATGTGAAATCCCAGCAGTTTTCTTCGGAGATTTTACACCAAATGAGCACAAAAAATCCCTGGCTCAGGTTTAGAAAGCTGAATTTTCCAGTACAGCTGGATTCTTTTAAAATATTACTGCTAATGCTCCTGATCCTGCTAGAGACTCCAAAACTGCTACTGAGCATAGTGAACCTCTCACAAGGAAAGGCCAGCTATAAGGAATGGTAGGCAGTAACAGTTGTTATCTGCTGTAAACCACTCTCACACAAAATGGCATTTTCCAAAACATTTTTAGTGTTACAGTTTCAAAAGCCTTTGAAATACTGCCAAAATTAATATGGAATTAGATGTATGCTATTAGATGCCTCCCTGCCACCACCTTAAAACTAAGGAAAACCCAGCAGATTTAGATGGCCTCTTTTAGCTCCAGAATGCCTGCAACTGAAATTTCCAGATGCACTTGAATATAAATCATACTGAGAAACAGTAATGGGTCATTTATGATCTGAGGATCACCAAATCCTAGAATATTTTTATTATCTGTTATTACCTTACATCTATTATAAATGCCACTACCAGATGGAGATCAGTGATGAGTGGAGTCCCTCAGGGGTCTGTACTGGGACCAGTACTGTTTAATGTCTTCATCAATGACGTAGACAGTGGGATTCAGTGCACCCTCAGCAAGTTTGCAGACAACACCAAGCTGAGTGGTGCGGTTGACACACCAGGAGGATGAGATGTTATCCAAAGGGACCTGGACGAGCTGGAGAGGTGGGCCTGTGTGAACCTCATGAGGTTCAACAAAGCCAAGTGCAAGGTCCTGCACCTGGGACGGGGCAACCCCCAATATCAATGCAGGCTGGGGGAGGAAGGGATTGAGAGCAGCCCTGCCGAGAAGGACTTGGGGGTACTGGTGGATGAAAAGCTGGACATGAGCCGGCAATGTGTGCTCACAGCCCAGAAAGCCAACCCCATCCTGGGCTGCATCCCCAGCAGCGTGGCCAGCAGGTCGAGGGAGGGGATTCTGCCCCTCTGCTCTGCTCTGCTGAGACCTCACCTGGGGCACTGCGTCCAGCTCTGGGGCCCTCAGCACAAGGACATGGACCTGCTGGAGCGGGTCCGGAGGAGGCCACCAAAATGATCCGAGGGCTGGAGCCCCTCTGCTGTGAGGCCAGGCTGAGAGAGTTGGGGTTGTTCAGCCTGGAGAAGAGAAGGCTGCGGGGAGACCTTAGTGCGGCCTTTCAGTATTTAAGGGGGGCTTATAAGAAAGACGGGGACAGATTTTTAGCAGGGCCTGTTGCGATAGGACAAAGGGTAATGGTTTTAAACCAGAAGAGGGGAGATTCAGACTAGATGTAAAGAAGAAATTTTTTACGATGAGTGTGGTGAGACACCAGCACAGGTTGCCCAGAGAGGTGGTAAATGCCCCATCCTTGGACACATTCAAGGCCAGGTTGGATCGGGCTCTGAGCAACCTGATCTGGTTAAAGCTGTCCCTGCTCATGGCAGGGGGGTCAGACTAGATGACCTTTAAAGGTCCCTTCCAATTCAAGGATTCTATGATTCCACAGTATCATGGAAAACTTATTTTTGCATTAAAAATCCTGACATATTGCATAAATACCATATCAGTCTTTAATATTGGTCAGCAATTAGGAAAAGAAGCTGTATCTATACATGCATAGTTACCACTCACCAGGTATTTCACTAGTGAGAAGTAGGCTTCTCTACTCACCTTCTTCTCAAAATCGCCAACACAATTTTTGAGGGCAGAGTGAAGGCCATAAATCTCTTTATCAGTCTTCTGGGCCTCATGCCTGATAATACTGATGTCTCCCGACAGTTTTGCAATGCTTGCCTCGCACCTGCAGTCAAACCAGAGACAAGAGAGCTTCTGCAGGGGGATGCTGGAGGGTGGCTGAAGGCAGATGCTGGTCTCCGTGTACTGCCACCAGACCAAATCAAGCCCCCTGGGACCAGCCTGGCGAGTAGCAAATAGGCAGAGACACCCCATTGCAGCAAACCTGATCCCCATTCTGCTTTCAGTCGTTACCGCCCATTAAAAGAGCTGCTAGAGGTGATGGTGCGGAAGCAGGAGGCAGCTGGAGGCAGCCAGAGGCAATGCCCTCAGCTGCAGCAGTGATGCCCGTGGGCTCCTCGTACCACAGACCTCCTTGTGGTGCCTGCAGGCTCCAGGGGAGTTGCAAGAGCTGTCCACAGCTCACCCTGCCGGACTGAGTCCCCCCCTGATTTCCCACTGTCCAATCTCCACAAATTAAATCAAATCTGAAGTGCAAATCAAGAGGCTAATCTGCACTCCGAGCACCCCCAGCTTTTGGATTGCCTACCGGGAGAGACGGTGCACCACTGCCACAACCACCCCAGCCTGCATCCTCCACCAGCTGCATGCAGATGTTGGGGAAGATTACTTTTAGAGAAAAAACCTTGGTGTTTTGTTAGGAGCATTTGTCGTTTTCTATTTAAACTCCTTCAGTTGCATTCACCAAAATATGTCATCGCATTTAAAATGGACAAATGAACGACATGAGAGTGGCGACATAAATTGAGTAGCCCAGGGATTGAACAGCATTCAACCAGCTATCCTTTCCAGGTAGAATGAATGACTGTTTCAGCCCCTGTCTTTAATGTGTATGTATATATACACACACATTGTGTATGCACAGTAGGTAGAGATATATATATGTACATATATATAAAAAAAAATTGACATAAGCAAGAATACTTTCTTTAGTGTATATGCAATTATAGATATAACATTATACATATACTTAACATGAGCAAGGAGACATAGATTTCCCCTTCTGCGCACCTCCTGCATGTTGGCCCCCCCAGGAGTAACTGCCTGCCCCAATGCAAGAGTGTGGAAAAAAATACCTTAATGCCACAAAACAGTGCACAATTTAATATAAATAATGGAATAGAAGTTGAGAGAGGAAAACAGCTAAGTTTTAAAATGCCAGAGAAATTATCCTCCAAAACATCACCACCAAATAAAGCTGGTGCTGTTGACAGAGAAAGAATCTAAAGAGAAATTTTGACAGTTTAAATAGACCAGCTTTTTGTCATCTCCTGATGATGCTTAGATATTGTGATACACCTACAGAGGGTGTAGATCAAGGACATAAAAAAAGTTACTGCAGCTAATAGAGGCTTTGTACAAAGGCCAGAACTTTGATCAAAATAAACCATTGATTTGGAAAACTACTACAAAATAGCTGAGAAGGTGAACACGGATCTGGAGAGGGAGGGGGCTGTTCCAGAGCTGGCTGCCATCACAGCTTCTCCGGCTGCAAACCTAGAAAACAAGCTGGGAGCCAGCGAGGGGAGGGTGAGGGGGGAGCATGGTCCCGGGAGATGAAAGGTCCCAGGTCCCCTCCACCGCCTCTCTGGGCTACCCGTGCCAGTGCTTCACCACCCTCATTGTCAAAAATTTCTTCCTTATGTCCAGTCTAAATCGATTCTTCTTTAGTTTAAATCCATTACTCCTTGTCCTGTCACAACAGGCCTTGCTAAAAAGCTTGTCCCTGTCTTTCCTGTAGGCCCCCTTTCAGTAGTGGAAGGCCGCGCTAAGGGGGATGTTTTGGATGCCTACCAGGAGAGACGGCGCACCGCTGCCAAAACCACCCCAGCCTGCATCCTCCACCAGCTGCATGCAGATGTTGGGGAAGGTCACTTTTAAAGAAAAAACCTTGGTGTTTTGTAAGGAGCATTTGTTGTTTTCCTATTTAAACTCCTTCAGCTGCATTCACCAAAATATCTTGCATTTAAAATGGACAAATGAACGACGTGAGACAGGGGGACAGCCAGCACTGCGGAGGTCAGGGGCTCCTCGCACTCGCAGGGCTGGGTGGAAATGTTGAGGTAGATGAGCACAAACAAAATGAGGCTGCAGTTGCGATGTGAGGTTGATGACTGACTGGACCTACATGAGGGCCAGCTTTTCAACAGAGATCAGAGGATCGGGGTTCACCACTCCCTTAGGAAAGTCCCACCCCAAGGCAACAATTACAAAGCTTCACAAGAAGTGCAGTGTGAGAAAGAAGAGGATTAATGGATCTGTAGCAGTAAGAAGACATAATTTCAGTTACAAGAGAAAGAAACCTGAATATTCCATACTGAGAATACTTAAAAAACAGAGGATTTGACGATAGGATCCAAAAAGCCCAAAAACTAGGCTTGCAGCATGGGATTAATGCAACTACGTCTGCATTGCTGCGTAGCCTGACAGGTCAGAGCTGTGCCTGGGGACCTGCAGACGTGGCAAGCTTTGCAAAGACCCTCAGCACTGCTGATGTACCTTAAATCTCTGGGCCCGCTCAGATATGACTTTCCCTATGCATAATAGCATTATTACATGCAAAGTAGTTAAATGCATTATCGCTGTTTGGCAGATTGAGTTGTGAAGAGAAGGGGATGCTTGGGATTTGCTTAAGTCTTGCCCTAATTTGATGTTTCCTGTAGAAGATATTCAGCAGCTTACGGTAAGATCATGGTTTTCCAGTCATACAAAACAGAGGCTGGAGAGTGTGCAAGCAGCAATGCAGGCAGACTGGGAATGGTACAGAATGGTACAGAATGGTCCTCCTATGAGATTTGCATATAAATTAAAAAATATAAAGAAATAAAAGCCTCTGATGGTTATATCAAAGCATTTAATTAGAGACAGGAACACAGCTACCTGCTATATGTTCGAGGAGCTTTGTCCTCCAAAGTCAGGGAAGGAAGAGCATATATTGGACTGCTGTACTTGGTGAAATATTGTATTTTCTGAAATGTCGAGTAACTTCATGGGTACACACCAGGGCTTTTGACTGTCTACTGCTACATTGGACATCTTCTCTGAGCAACAAAAAAGTTCACAAGAAAAATAAGTCAAATGTAACTATCTGTGTAAAGCGCATTGTTTACTCATTTGTGCATTCAGTTATTCTTTTGTTTGTGAAGCTGAAGAGAATGAATTAATATTTATCAGAAGTGTGGCTTTTTTTACAGTTGATTACCTAATTCTTATTACTTTAAGACATACTCCCTTGCCCAAAGGAATTCTTATTAAGAGTTAGAATACAAATAAAATATATAGTTAATTCAGTGGGAATGCCATTATAGCTGAGATGCTGAAGGCTGGGTTTTTTAGATCACTTCTGTTTGACATGTAAATGTTTACATGTAATGTAGAAATGTTTACATGTAATGTAGAAATGTAGTCAGGAGGTCCAAGAATTAATGGGAAACCACCTCAGTAGTTGGCGAGAGGTCTCCATCTGTTTTTCAGGGAAAGACAGAGTAAAAGAATAGACACAATTTGAATTACAAGAGCTAATCCACATTAATCCTTTACACATGGCAGAATACAGAAGGATGAATCATCTGCTGTGAGAAAGAGCAGTGGCTCCATTTAAGGTTCATTTCATCCCAGATAGCCTTGGATTAAGGTTAGGCTACAAATCAAGAGGAAAACTGTCATTGCAAGTTTGCATCTGGAAGATTTCTATTCATTCAATAAATGTAAATTATATGAACACGTGCATTTTTCTCCAGCCACTCTGGGCTCTCTTTAATATACATAGAAATTTTAAATCCTGAAACTCAAGGTCAAAGAAACATGAAAAATCAAAATATTAATCATTACTATAATGGTAGTCCTCTGTCTGTCAGTTCTGGCTCAGTCCTCAACCACGATGCTGAGGGCAGGTATGCAGTTAAGGCTTGGCATTTCCAGAGGGGAACTTCAGCAGCAAGAAAAACAAGAAAGTGCTGATGATCCATGAATCACATAAAACTATACTATGCTTTAGCTTAATGGCAATCATTTGCATAAAACTGCATTATAATATTGCTGTTGAAACACTGCTGAAATGCCAGCTCTGGCTCTGCAATACCAGTATGTTTGGATGAAGCTAGAAAAACTGCTGTTTTCTTTGCTCTCTCTCCTTAGAAATAAAGGGGGTCTAAGGACTTAGTTTCCAGCATCATAAGACGCTGACTTTGGTGCCCTCATGATAGTTTTTTATGTGTGATTGTGTATGTGTGTTTTGGGATCCTCCCTTCTATCCGTGGGAAAGGCCAACCAGTGCACCTGAAAAATGGGCAAGGAAGGAAGAGGAAGAAGGACCTCATAAAAAATGTTGTGGGCCTCCACGAGTACTTGACCTCTTGTTTCTTCTGGTGTCTTTTTTTCCTTTACACAAGTAGAAGTGGACTGCTTATTTTTTCTCCCACAATTACCCTATTTTCCTGTTTTCCCTAAGTGCTTTTGCTTTCCTTTGCTTCAGGCAAATGCTCCAGCACAGAAGATGGGAGCAATCCCTGGTGCAGCTGACAAAGGGAAGCATCGCACCCAGGAAAACACTGGGAAAAGAGGAGTGAGACACTTTACCCGTCAAATGTTATGGCTTTGCTAAAAGCATATCGTCTAGAGAGTCTGCCAACCTGAACTGCAAAATATCAAGAGGTTCTTGCAGGATCACCTCCTACCTTGTTCCAGTGCTAATCAGCCACAAGGTTAAAAAAACCCTATCTTTTTCCTGCATCCTTTTCCTGCCAACTTTGAATGTGTTGGCTTCAGCTTCTCATTTTGGATTCTTGGGTCTCTCTGCAGTAGTCTGGAGTCCTTGGGTACTCTATAATTTTTTTCCTTTCTCTTCTGGTGGTTATACATGGAAATGAAGAAATCTCTGGATTTATTTTTTGCTATAAACTATACACAGATGTATACTTCTCTCAGCCAGAAATTTTCCTTGTCCCACCATCATATTCCTGGCTCTTCTTTACACCATATCAAGTTTTTAATTTCAGAAAGGGGACTCTGGGCTCAGTACAGTATTCTGGTATTAATTCTGTGCCATATATAGAGCTAAAATAACCTCCCTATTTATGGGTCCTCTGCTTCTCTTGTTTAAGACCATACTCCTGGCATTTCTGATGCTGCCTCATTGTAAGATCTCACGGTAAGTGATTTACCTGCCATAGTCCCCAAACTTTTCAGGGGACACTCAGTAGTGGAACAGTCTCGTTGGGTTTATAAAATACCTTTTTTTCTCAATCAGTCCACATGGCCAATATTCCTGGTTATTCTCAATTACAGCCTTGTCTCCACTTGACCAATGTTTGTATTATCTACAAATGTTAACAGCAGTGGTTTATATGAAAAGCATATGACTGGCCTCTGGAGAGAGAAAACCCAACCACTAGAAACACACCAGTTCAGGGAGATTTCTTCCTCACTTATTACTTTTTCCAATATATCAGTTCAGACAGTTCTTAATCCATGTGCTCTCTTGATATTACACAGCACAGTTTCACTTTGCCTTTCTTTTAATCATCATTTTTTATGTTACTAAGCACCCCACAGAAGTCCACCTATGTTATTTACATGTAATTACTTGCACCAATGAAAACTTATAATCTCACCAAAAGAAGAAATAGAGTGTGTTCAACAAGACCTATTTTCCAAGGCAGGTTTTTATTGAAACAACAGGAGAGTTTAAGTAGGAGGAAATAACCACTTCAGCTGAAGTCTAGCCAGACTGGAGAAGAAAAAATTCTCTAAAATGTTAAGTGTGTGATGAAGAATGAGACAAGAAAATATAGTTATTTTTCCCTGGCTTGAGAATTTTTCTAACATGGAGAGTGTGAAGTACAGATCTGGCTCTAAAATGGAGATATAAAATGAGTGCAAAGTACATTCATGCCCACTCTGAATCTGCTCTGCACAAATCGACTTGCAGAGATGAAAATGAGGGCCATTATGCATTCCTTACCTTGCCACTCTTCCACGCAGGTCTCCAAGACCCTGGATGTATTTATGGTCCAGACTTTGAACAGCAAAATTAGTTTGTACTGCAGCACCATCCCTTGTTCTTATTTGCCTCTCCAAAACCTGTAAATTCAAGACCATTAATGCACTTTCGGTTTTCTGCTTTGTTTTTTTTTTGTTTCAAAGTAGGGTTCAAAGCACCATTTATGGCAGCAGGTCTAAAAACTTGGGTTTGTTTCTTGGAGAAAGTAACAGTGTGGGTTTTTTTCTTTCAAAAATACATATCTGCATAAATAATATATCCATTTTTCCCTTAAAAATGTGCTTTACGTTGAAAAGTCTAGCACACAAAAATTAGGAAACTCAAAAATGGGTAAATGAATCTTATTGTCCCTCCCAAACATCCACAGTACAGTGCAGCCCATAATAAATAACACAGGGTTTTTTAAGTCAGGATCCTTTCAACAGGGGGGTACCAGGCATTTCTAGGACGGAGGCAATAGCTAAACTGAGTGTTTTGCAGCAGCCTGAGGGCATTGCTTTGCAGGGTGGACAAGGCAAAGCAGAGATGGGCACAGGATCTCTGCCCTGAGCCCAGTCTGCCCATGCTGCAAATGCACAAATCATAGAATCACAGAATCATAGAATCATAGAATGCTTTGGGTTAGAAGGGACCTTTAGAGGCCACCCAGCCCAACCCCCTGCAGTGAGCAGGGACAGCTTTAACCACATCAGGGTGCTCACAGCCCCGTCCAACCTGGCCTGGGATGGTGCCAGGGATGGGGCCTCCACTGCCTCTCTGGGCAACCTGTGCCAGTGCTTCACCACCCACATTATAAAAAATTTCTTTCTAATGTCTATTCTAAATCTATTCTTCTTTAGTTTGAATCCGTTATTCCTTGATGCTTATATCCAAGCTAATGCACCACACCTGGCATGTATAAAAACATGTCCTTAACACACACAGTCCTGCACAGGGCGGGTTTTTGCTCCAGTGAAGGCACGGACCTGCTGTTAAAGCACATTACAGATATACCCACCGAGCCCTGAACATGGATGCAGGTCAGTATAAGGAGCTCTTTAATGCCTTGCTTTACACTTACTGTTCAGTATGTGGCCTGATTTCTATTTTATTGCGCAGTATTAAAGATCTGATCTAAAGATGGAAGGAGTAACCGCCCTGCAGGCTCTTTTGAAGTGGCTTGTCCTGATGGTATCTGAATGTGTCACAAGCATTAATTTTAGGAAGCCCTTGTGCAGCTACTGTGACCTTTTACAGATATGGAGCGGAAGGGGAGAATGATTTCTAAAATCTCCTGATTTTACTTCTCAGGTTGAAAGGATAAGCCTGGGGCTGATATTTCAGTGTAATTCAGCACTACACAGCACTTCAGCTGGTCAAACCACAGCTTTTACCTCTTTTTATGCAATATCCTATTTGTGCGAAAATAGAGTGGCTTTTTATTTGGAATGTTCCCTGCTGAGTGAATTAAAAAAATATAGAAAAGGCCAAATATTGAGGAAAATTTCAACTGCAAATGCTTAAATTTTGGCAAACTTGTTGCAGATGAGTTTGCCTGTCCTGCGGGTCATGGGGGCTTGTCCCACCATGAGGGCCATGGGAGGGCTCAGGGACAGTCCGGCTGGGTTTCCGTAGGGTTGTGCTGATGCCCTGAGCTTGTGTGTCTGGACACAGCATCTGACCTTCTTCCTCTGTGGTCGTGCCCCTGCAAACAGGGTCAGGGCAAACATTCCCCAGTCGGCTGCAAGCAGGGACGGTGTAGTGGCACATGCAAATACCCATAGCACTGGGTCCCCATGTGGTACTGCTGTCCCACTTCGCCAGAAAAGGAGACAGCATCTGCCAAAAGTGGGGCACAGGTGAGCGGGGAAAGCTGCAATAACTCTGGAGTAAAATTTCATTCAAATCTTTTATGCAGTTATTCACAAATAATCCTGGCTGCCCTGCACACAGAGTATGGATAACTGAAATACTGTGCTGGGACCTGGTATTCCTATTTTTGTTCTGTGTCAGAAGATAATGTTCTCAAAGGGTTGAATGTATTGCACAACTCAAGTGTATTTTTGGCAGTATATTTGGCAACTCAAATCTGATGCCACAAGTCTGTGAAGACAGAGGCACAGAGTAGGACCACCACTCCCTTGCTGGCAAATGCAGCATGAGACACTTGTACATTAGGATGGAAAGCAGCAGCCTCCTGTTTATCAAGGGAAATCGATATTCTCCTTCTCCAGCTAGTTGCCTGGGCTCTTGGCAGCGCTCCCGTCCCAGAGCTCACCACCCCTGGGCAAGAGAGCCACGTGCACAACATCATGCTTGTGACTGATAGGCTGTGCGCATCCCCTCAGCTGAGACATGGTTATCTTACGGCTGTTACCAGAGGCAATGCCAGGCACATCTCCCCTCTGCCCCTAGGGTTTTAGTATCCATGCTTTTCTCTTGCAATTTGCAATCCTATCCTGGGATTGTGAAGGACGCCTTTATCAAAGGTCTGGTCATTTTCCACCTGGAACTAATTGCTTTGATGTCCCTGCTGCAGCAGTAGCCAGGGCATTTTTCTGGCTCTGGCAGAGCAGTGCGTTTACTTGGGCTCACTTTCATTCCTGGTGGCAACGGCATGCCAGCATCTTCCCCAAAGCAGGTTGTTTTTGAAGGATATTGTTCATGCTTTGGGGAAGTTTTGAAGTATGAGTGAGTCACATTTCCTGGTGGATCCTTTTTTTTTTTTTTTTTTAATAATGCCTGATAAATCAATGTTGCTCAAGCATTCTCATTTGCTGCATGCCAGGAGCAATTCTCCAAACCTCCACTTATTCTGTAGTGGTTTTGATTGACATGTCTCACTGTACTATTTTCTGTGCTGTTGGTACTCTACCCTTATCAAATCCTCACAACCAAAATCCACAAAGCAAACACGCACCTGAGATTCGTATCTAGAGAAGAGTACTTTACAACTAAGGAAAAAGATTAGATTTAGATGCTGGTAGCATCTTAAGCGTTTTTCTAGCAAAACGGTCCTGTACATACTTGAACTGGATAGGGTTAGAGGAATTGGATGATATACAATAAGTAAGTGGTTTTATAGCTTTGCTTATCTTAAAGGTCTTTTCCAACCTAAACGATTCTATGATTCTATTCTATGATTCTATAGTATCAAAAGCCTGAAAATTAAATCAGTGTGAAATGAACACAGACCCTAGTTTTAATTCAGATTAATTTCAGGTGAGCCATGATTGCATACTTCTTAAGATAAATGTACAGAAGATCAAATATTTCTCCAAGCACAAGAAAAACATGTTTTGTGAATTTAGTGGCATTTTTAAGTCATTTAACACTTCAAAGGACAAAACAAATCTCTGGAGAAGTCTATTTCATTATATTTTTGTATTTTACACCTTTGTCCCAAAAGAAAAATCAAACAGTGTTGGTAAATTTCTCATACAAATTTGACAAATAATAGCAAATGATCAAAAGTCTTTAGCCAGAATAAGGGCATCCCATGCATTTCCAGCACACATTAGTCAGTTTAAATAAAATGTGAATCTGAACCTCCATTTCGGTCTGCAGTGAGCTTTGTGAAGAGTTTCAGCAATATTTCATTACGTTTGCATGCAGAAGTTATGTAAAGAAGTAGAACAACTGCATCAGGAAAACTAAGAAGTAAACCCAAAGTTGAGTCTTGATGTTATATGTTAGATGAAAATACAGCTTACTCCTTATTTACCTTGATCTCAATCTCCCTCAATCCAACAAAACTGAAAGCAAACAGAATCTGACCCTTTGAATTAAATCAACCCCAGAACTCATTAACCCGCTTTTTATTTCATTTTACTTTCCTTTTTTTTTACTTTCCCCAGTTCCCTCCCTCCTGTTTTCACAAGTAACTGTAAGCACCACATTACAAGAAAAATCAGAATTTAACTAAAACATAGTGGTCACATTGAGTACTTTTCTGCCCCTGAAGCCAATAGTAGTGCTGAACGGTCTAGAGCTGCACCACTAAAGCAGGGAAACGCTCCTTGGCATGTATTACCTCAATGTCCTGGCTGAGCTTTTTAACGATGCTCGTAATGGTCTGGATGTGGTTTTCCTGCAGCTGCCGGGCAGCGGCCACCCCATGCTGATAACCTTTGCTTCCCTGGAGGTAGGAGATGATGTCGTCTTTGATTTGGAAAGCCTGATGAAGGAGGAAAGCCGTGGTCCTCTCCTGGCTGGATAACCG